CAGCAATGCACTGGTCTGCCCAGCCCCCCAGCAATGCACCTGCCTGCCCAGGCCCCCAGCAAAGCACTGGTCTGCTCAGCCCCCCAGCAATGCACCAGACTGCCCAGCCCCTGCCCAGCGCCCCAGCAATACACCTGCCTGCCCAGCCCTCACCCAGCCCCCCAGCAATGCACCTGTCTACCCAGCCCAGCAACGCACCAGCCTGCCCAGCCCCTCAGCAACTCATCGGCTTGCCCAGCCCTCTCCCAGGCCCCCAGCAATGCCCCTGTCTGCCCAGCCCAGCAATCCCCAGCAATGCCCTGGCCTGCCCAGCCCCAGAGCAAGTGCCAGCTGGGCTCCTTTCTGCCAGCCTGTGTCCAGATGTGAGGTGATATCACCACCTGGTGGCCATCCCAACCCCTGCACTCTCCCAGCTCCATTGCCCGTTGCAGCCACAAATTCACATCTGTTTGCCCAGGACAGAGCCCACAGTCCCCTGACTGCAGCCTGGTCAGCTCATCCTTTCCCTTCTCCTAACCGGAGCTGGGATCCCTTCGCTGTGACTGTATCTGGAGTCACCCGTCGCAGCTCTTTCCGGTGCGGCGCCAGCCCTGCCGTTGTGGCAGCCCCAAGGCTGGGAACTTAGAGCTGAGCTGGAGCTGTTGCGTGCTGCCCTTGGTGCCTGTCGGGCCTTTCCAGCCAAGCAGGGTCAGTCCTGGTCAGTGCTGAGATGGGAGACCGGCAAAGAGCACCCAGGGTGTGCAGGAAGCACTGGGGGCTGCTCTCCCCTTACTCCGTGCTGACCCCAGTGCAGCATGAGGGGGGGCTATGCTGCAGTGTGCGTGCCCCCAGGGTGGGTGCTGCGGGGGCAGGTTGGATGCCAGGGGGTGGGGGGCTGACTGTGCTGCTCAAAGGGTAGTGGGGGGAAGGTGTAAAACCGGGGTCCTGGCCATTCTGGTGGAGACTCAGGGCACCAGCCCTGCTGGCCTGGCCGCTGGAGCTGCTCCAAATGCCCTGTGGTTCCAGCTAACTGCAGGATTCTTCTCCATGCCGTGCTCTGCCCTGTGGGGTGGGTCATCTCCCCACCCCAGAGGTAGCTGCATCTCGCAAAGCCCCTCCAAGGCTGTTAGCTGATCTCTGTGTTACCAGCTCCCACGGGGCTTACTGGACCTGAGGCCGACAGAAGCAAATTGTCCCAACATCTGGGCCATGCGTGAGCTCCAAGGGCTGATTGCTGGCAGTGCCCAGCACTGTCCTGAGCCAGCCCTCGCCCAGCTGTGCCAGGGCGCCCGCCCTCTCCCCTCGCCCAGCCGCGCCGGGGCACCCGCCCTCTTCCCGCGGCCCTTGCCCAGCCACGCCGTGGCGCCCGCCGTCTCCCCGCGGCCCTTGCCCAGCCGCGCCGGGGCGCCCGCTCTCTCCCCGCGGCCCTCACCCAGCCACGCCGGGGCACCCACCCTCTCCCCGCGGCCCTCGCCCAGCTGCGCCGTGGCGCCTGCTACTCTCCAGATCCTGTTGCTGTATGTTGCCAACCTGCCCTTCTGGGTTTCCCTGCAGAAAGAGAACCAGCCCCAGGCCCTGCAGTGCGAGGCCGTGTACCAGGTCCACAGGATGCCCTACAAGATCCAGCCCCAGGATTACCCCAGCGAGGCCTTAAAGGTCAGTGGCTGCCCGTGGGCCATGCAGAGCGGGTGGGGCTGAGGGGGGCACACAGGGGGCGCCTGGGGCAGAGTCAAAGCCCAGCCCAGTCCCAGGTGAGAGGAGCCTGCGGCAGGACCCCCCCTCCCCAGGCTCAGTGACCGGCTGAGTGTGTGTGGGAGAGCTCCTTACCCTGCCGCTCCAGGCCGGTCAGCTCTCTGGGCCTGACTGTGCAGCTCTGGGAGCCCAGGGCGTGGGAACAAGCTTTGCGCCCACCTGGGGGTCAGGAGAGCAGGCTGCTGCAGGCAGGGGGGAGCAGGAAGGTGTGGGGGGAGCCCAGCCCCCGGTTCCTGTCTCACTCTCATGGCGTTGGCAGGTGTCCACGGCGATTCAGTGGGTGAAACCGGAGAGCAGCCACGGGGTCCCGCTGTGGATCATCATCCTGGCCATCCTGCTGGGGCTGCTGCTGCTGGCACTGCTCATCTACGTGCTGTACAAGGTGAGTGCACGGGGCCGGGAGCGGCAGGGCTGGAGCTGGAGAGCGCCTGGGCTGGGGTGAGGGGGTGCCCAGCAGCCTCCGGAACCAGCCCTGGGAGCACAGGCCTGGCTGTCCCCCGCGGGCACGCTGCACCAGGGCCGGCAGGCGTCCCCCCGCTCAGCAAGGCTCACTGCAACATGGGCCATCAGTGCCAGCTTCCCCGGGCCTGCAGCTGGGGAGCAGGCACTTCTCACTGCCCGTGGGCATCCGTCCCTCCCCAGGCAGGGAGCAGGCACCAGCACCATGCAGGTCCTGAGCCAGCTGGCTCGGGTCTCAACACCTGTGAACATCCACCAGCATCCGGTGTGGGGCCTGCCCTCTGCGAGGAGGGAGCTCTCCACAGGCTGGGCTAGAGGGGCAGTGCCAGGGTGGGGCGATGCCAGCACGGACAGGGCAGGCGAGGGTCTCCCAGAAATAACTCCACCCAGGACTGGAGTTACAGCTCTGTAGCTTGGGGATCAGTGGTTGGGGGGGAGGGCTGGGAGTCAGGACTCCTTGGTTCTATGTCCAGCTCTGGGGGGAAGTGGGGTCGAGTGGCTGGAGCAGGGGGCCTGGGAGACGGGGCAGGCGCTCTCCGGGCCATTGGGGGGCGCTGCTGGTACCAGTGCTGCCTTGTGCACTCACTGCCCTGCCTCTTGTCTCTGCAGCTGGGGTTTTTCAAACGCTCCCTGCCCTACGGCACGGCCATGGAGAAGGCTCAGCTCAAGCCACAGGCGGCCTCAGAGGCATAGCGGGGCCAGGGCCGCCCGGCTGCTCTACGCGTCTGGGCTCTGTCTGTCTGTCTGTCTTGTTTGCTTTTGCCGGCGTGGCCGCCTCAGAGCGGCATCGGGGAGGGGCGGCGCGGCCTGGCACAGCAAGGACGGGCTGCTCCCAGCAAGCTTGCCAATGGGGCAGAGACAGACCCAAGGAAGCCCCACCGTGGGGGGCCATGAGCTGAGCCCCCAGGACTTCAGCAGCAACTGGAGAACGCCCTGCCTGCTCTGTGCCCATGGGGGTGGCATCTCTGCCTCCCCTCGGCACCAGACCCCGGCAGCCGCCCACTGCCCTCTGCGGGCGCCCCAGCGGGTCAGATGCTGAGGGCTGCGCTCTTCAGCCATGGGCAATACTTGAAGGCTGCTAGGAGGCCCTGCTGGGCTCTGCGGAGCCGTGGACTCCTCCCGCGGCACAGCGTGAAGTGCCGTCCCTCTGTCCGGCCGGCCGGTGTTGGCACAGGGTCGTGGAGTCTGAACTGGACAGTTTACAAGCTGCCCGTCCACTCAGACATGCCGGAGCTAGGCCGGACAAGCACAATCGCCCCATGCAGCCACCGCCATGGAGCTGGATGGGACTTCCTGCCTTCCCCAGCCCACTTCCTGTCTGAGGCAGCTCCCCCGAGGACATGATGGACACTTCCAGCCAGAGGTTCTCGGGGCCACACTCAGCGATGCCAAAGATTGCAGCATAGGAAGCCGAAGCCATGGCCCGCCAGCTGCGCCTGCGCCAGCCCTGAGCTCGCAGCCCGGCAGGTGGGGCAGGGCGGCCCCGGGGCTGCGGCCAGGAATCTGGGCTCTAATTTAAAGTCTCTCCAAGTGCAATAAACCCTTCGACGTCAGTATTAATCTTCTTAATTATGATCAGGAATTTTCTCTTGTGGTTGGAGGTCTGGCCCAGGTGCTCCCCGCTTTGCACTGACCCCACGCTGTAGGGCCAGCCCCCTCCCCCGCCCCGTACCCCCTCCCCTCCAGCCCCGCTCGCAGCGTCTCTAAGTTATTATGTTATGTCTCCTGTCTGAAATCCGGGGGTGGCCCCGAGCTGGCCCTGCGCTGCCCTCCAACGCTGGCCCTCAGGGATAGCCGGGCTGCATTGGGTGCAGCCTGGCAGGACCCCCATGGAGAGCGCTGGGTTTTGCCTGGCGTTCCTGTGCAGCTACCCGCAGTCTGGGCAGACTCCACCATGGAGAGGCGGTGCTAGAGCAGCCTCCTCCGCGGGCTCTGCCCCATTGCCCCCTGGGCAGGCTGCCCCACATGCTGGTGCCTAGCCGGGTACCTGGGCTCACTCCCAGACAGCACTTGCTGTTGAACTGGCCCTCGCCGTTCTCGGGGGGCACTGTGTGGACAGGGCAGCTGTTGCCCTAGTGGACCAGCCCAGATGCCAGCAAATAGGACAGCCAGGCTGCTGAAAGGGCCGGGCCAGGAGCTACCGTGCAGCCAGACCCTCGCCCGGAGCCCCCATCCCGTCACTAGGATCCTGGGCAGCACACCCTTCTCAGGGCTGGGAACCCCTCGCTCTGCCAGGCTGAGCCAGAGCCCTGGCTCCTGACCCTACCTCTCCCGGGGCCAGAGGGGCTCAGATGAGACTGAAGCTTGAGCTGTGACTCGTGCTCCCGCGGCCATTCGGGGGTCCAGGCCGGGCCGTTGGTGCCCCAGGGCCCGAGAGCTGGCTAAGTGGGGGCCGAGTCTTCATTCCTCTCTCCTGCAGGCCATCGGCAGGGGACCGAGGGCGGGGTCCCGGTGCTGGGGGCGGGGCTCTGGCAGCTGCTGGCTTCTCACTGGAGCGTGGCCCACGGCCACTCCCAGGGCAGGTGCAGCAGCCGAGAGTCGAAATTGCACTACAGCCAGCAGTCCCTGCCCAGCCGGGGGGAGGGGGAGGGTGTCCTCTTCTTGGTATTTATCCTTCCACTTTATATTGGCTGTTCCAAACAGCCCCCCATGGGGGCAGATCCCAGCTCAGGAGGCCAGAGCCCAGGTGCCCCTTGGTGCTGTGTACTGGGGGGACAGTCCTTGGGACTGGGGCTCTCCCCATGGCGGACACTTTCCCCTCTTTGTTCTGTGTTGATTTGCTGTTGGTTTGAGAGAAGGGGGGGTGAAGGGTTGGAAATTTTTGGTGAATGGGGGAAAAAAAACAGGTCATTCCCCCCCCTCCCCCCCCCGCTCAAGGGAAAGTGAGCAGGGGGTGGGGGAGCTGATGTCACTAATTGGTTGGGGGGTATCCAGCTTCCTGCCTCAGGGAGGCGCTCACTCTCTATTGTTATTTTATTATTAAATGTGTTCTAAAGACCCTTCCTCGCCTGGTCATTGATGGCTGCGCCTTGGTCAGCCTCGGTCGCGATTAGTGGGTGCGAGCAGCATGGCGTGCACTGGAGAGAGGGAGAAAGGATGGGACCTGTGCGCGTGTGTGCCTGTGTGCTCCTGCCCCCTGCTGGTCAGGATGGGACCTGTGTGTGCATATGCACCAGTGCCCCCTGCTGGAGCACATGGGACTGGTGTGTGCTCCTGCCCCCTGCTGGAGAGTGTGGGACCTGTGATGCCGTGTGCACCAGCCACTCAGCAGACCCGGCTCCCTGAACAATCCACGTGGGGGGAGAGGAGCCTAAGAACGAGCTCCCGAAACACCAGCCCGCTAGTCAGCTAAGCCAGCCAATAGCAGAGACCAGCGAGGGCAGGGGGGTCCTCTCAGGTGCCCGGATCCAGGCTGCAGGGGGCGCCTGTCTCTGCTGGCCACTGCCCAGAGCCCCTCTCCTGGAGTCCAGCCCCAAGCCGGGTCTTGCATGAATAGCAGCAGCACATGCATCACTCCAGCTTTTAACCCTCAGCCCCAGGGCTTTGCACATTCACCCTGGGTGTGGGAGACCCTGGTTCAATTCCCCGCTCTGACAGGGACCCCATCCCATTCCTTCTCCCCATCACCCAGGTGAGGGTCCTAGCCCCCGGGCAATGGGGTGTTCAGGGTACTCACAATCTCCTCCCCACTCTACAGCCCAGTCACTCAGGGCACTCACCTGGGCAGTGGGACATCCCTGTTCAATCCCTTCCCATCAGGCCGAGGGGGTCTCCTACAGCACCGGTGTGTGCACTGGGCTAAAGCTTAGATCTCCTACAAATGTAGGGCTTGAGCTGCCAGCTAGAGCAGCGCCCAACTGAGGCAGGACGCTCCAGGGTTTTGGCCGCCCCAAGCAGCCAAACAAAACAAAACAAAACAAAAAAATTTGGCGGGAGGTCCTTCGCTCCGAGCGGGAGTGAGGGACCGTCCGCCGAATTGCCGCCGAACAGCTGGACGTGCCACCCCTCTCCGAAGTGGCCGCCCCAAGCACCTGCTTGGTAAGTTGGTGCCTGGAGCCGGCCCTGAAGGGAATCTAGATCTTTCCTTTCGAAACCTTCGATCCTTTTTGTTACTCTGCTCTGGACTCTCCTGTTTGCATCTTTTCTGAAGTGCAGCACCCAGAACTGGACACACGACTCCAACCGAAACCTCACCCACCCGAGCACAGCGGGACAGTCACCTCCCGTGTCTTACATACAACGCTTCTGTTAATACGCCCCAGAACGACATTGGCTTTTTCACAACTGCATCGTGGTGATGACTCCTATTCAACTTGTGATCCACGCTAACCTGCAGGCCCATTGCAGCGGTACCACCACCAAGAGTCTTCCTTCCTAAGTGAAGTACTTTTGCTCCTGGGGAAATTCTGCACCACTGCAGACGTGCATAATTCACGAAAAGACATTTCTGCCCAAGAAGTGCTGCAGTTCCACCTTTTGCCCACCGGAGGTCACTGGTGCCAGAACAGCCAGCAGCAGGAACCACAATGGCCTCCAGTGGGAAAAATGTGGAACTGCAGTACTTCGCGGGCAGAATTGTATTTTCTGTGGAGGGAAAAAAATTCTGTGCATGCCCAGTGCTGCAGAATTCCCCCAGGCCAGGAGTAGAAGTTCATCACAGCACCCTGCCCGCAGAGCCAGGTTTGGACAGAGTAGGGTACACGGGGCTGCTGGGGGAATCACAGATGGGTTCAGAATGGCTAGTGCAGGGGATAGACTGGAGTGCAGGCTCAGAAGCTAGTGGGGTGAAAGCGTTGAGCCTAGGGATGGGGGATACGGGCTGCAGGGACACATGGGGACAGGGGCAGATGTGCCTGACTGAATGGAAAAGGCTTTTACCAGAATCTTTCTTTTTGGTCTGTATTGTTACGGACATACTTGCTGACAGGTATTTTGAAATAAATGACCAAAATAATTGAAACTGGCGTGATTATATTGTTTTGACAAATCAAATATGCAGAATTTTGCAGAATTTTAAAATATTGCGTGCAGAATTTTTAATGTTTTGGCCCAGAATTCCCCCAGGAGTATACGCTGCTCTCATCTATTGAATTTCATCTTGTTCATTTCAGACTGTCTCCAATTTATCGAGGTCATTTTGAATTCTAATCTTGCCCTCCCAAGTGCTTGCAACTCCTCCCAGCTTGGTGGCATCTGCAGATTTCATATGCATCTTCTCCCTTCCTTTAGCCAAGTCATTAATGAAAATATTGATTAGTTCTGGACCCAGGACAGACCCCCCAGGACCCCCCCAGGTATGTTCTCACAGTTTCATAGCGAACTCTTTGTGTTTAGGCTTTTAACCAGTTGTGTGCCCACTCTCATAGTTTCAGGGTAACTGCACCTGCATTCCCCCTCGAGGGAACCCTCTCAAGATGTCGTTTGCAGTTCTCTTCCTCCTGACCGTGGTTTTACAGATGTGCAGCTCCCAACCTTACCCTGTGATATCCCCAGCCAAGGCCAGCAGCTGTGTGTTGTGTTCTCTCCAGGAGCTAGGAGCAGCGAACTGCCAGCAGTTACAAATGACCATTCAGTGCTTCTAAGCATGCACATTAATTCTTACATAAAAGCACTCCAGAGAAACCCTATGCAAACAATCAAAGTGCCTACACCCACGCTGAGTGCTCCCAGAGGTCCCCCATCAGTCTTACGGGGCCCTCGTTGGCCGGAGTCTTTCCAACCTTCTGCACGGGTTGGGCCTCCTTGGGCAGAAGGTCCCACCGGTCGCTGGGCCAGACAGAAAGCCTGCATCAGTTTGAACCAAGCCTTGTTATAGCAAAAGCCCTTTTGTCGGTTGGGCTCTGAAAAACCCAGTTTGAACCAGGCCTCCCCAGGATGGCACCTCTCTGGCGGTGTCTACAACCCGATTGATTCTCCTCTGTGTCCCATCCCCCCCGTCCCCCCCCACACACATACCCCGTTTCATACAAGCCCTGGCCACAGCACTACAATGCGGGCCCCAAAGCTCCTGCAGCAGGTGCAAGGACTGTCCCTGCAGTGAGGCCAGCCGGGCCACTGCCCGAGTTTGCTTCGGAGAGCAGCACAAGGGGCTGGGTCAAAAGCTGATCTAAAGCCCAGAACGATGACAGTTCCAGCTCATGCATATGGGGGGGGGGGGCGCTCCAGCCACTTTGGCCAGCCGCTGTGTGTGGAGTTGGGCGAGCTCAGAGTACGCACGCTGGCTCAGGCCGGCAATGCTGGCTGTGCCCGTTTGTGGATCTTGGGCAGGAGCTAGGCACCCAGACAGCTCGAGGGAGGTGCAGGGCATGGGCCCAGAGCCAAGAACATAGGCACCCAGGGGCGTTCACAGTCAGAACTGAGGCACCAACATCCATTTGTGGGCCTGGGCCTCCTGCCTCGCTGTGTGGGTGAGAACCGAGGTGCAGCGAGCCCAGGGGACTTGCCCAAGGGCACACACGGTGTCTGCGGCAGAACTGGGAACGGACCCCAGGTGTCCTGCACGCTAGGCCAGTGCCTTGATCCCTAGGCCAGCTGGTGTCTCATTGCACTTGGACCTGCCCTGTGCACAGCGCTGCCTGCTGCTGCACCTGGCCGTGCCAAGAGCCCCTGTTGGCAGGACGAGCTGCGGTGTAAAGACAAGCCCAGCCCTGGGGTCTCTGGCAGGATGGGTCTGAGTCTGAGCCGCCCCCCCAAGCCAGAATTACACATTGACTCCCCTGGGCCCTTTGTCATTACTCCATGGGGGTCTGGCTCCATGTTGGCTGGGCCAGCCATGGGTGTCCCCTCATCACCATCCCTGAGAGTCCGAGGAACGGTCTGGAGCCCTCGTTCCTGGGCCGTTGGATGAGACGCTTCCCCAGACGGGTGGCCTTGGGGTGAGAGGGGTTTGTGTGTGCCTGGGCATGTGTTCCCCTGCTGGTGGCACAGGACCTGTTCTGTGTGTGTAATTAAACCGCCTCATGCGTGTGACCTGCCCTATTCTCACACGCATGTGCCCAGTGGCCCTTTGCTGCGGGGAAAGACGTGCAAAGCCCCCGGACTTAACTGGCTGCCATCAGCTCTCTCTGCTGCTGTAGATCACCGCAGGCGCACAGAGGCCGCGATCCCAGCCCAGCTGCCATAGATGGGGATCACCAGCGCTGGCCCATTCCCCATGGCCATGCCACAGGCCTGTGACCAGGGCACAGCCCAGGAGTGCTGCGATGAGCACCACAGAGCCCAGGCCTTTTAGTAGCTTCCTCTGGTCCCAAGGGGCTGAGCTGCACTTTGGGCACCGGGAGGCTTGCAGCCGGTGTCTGCCCCGCGGGGTCCCGCTGGCCCCATTCAGACTCCTGCACGAAGCTTGGGCAGCATGTCACTGCCCTGCAAGGCCGGGGGGTGTATCACATCTCCACGTGCACCACGGCCCAGCGATTCCTGTGACGGCAGCATCACACCCAGGATCATTCCCGCCGGCCCCAGGGCCTGCTGCAGCCAAGCACCTCCGGCTCACTGAACTGCTCCCACTGACGGCCGGGGCAGGGCTGGGAAACCCAGGTGTCCTGTGGCCCAAGGGCACTCGAGAGGGGTGGGCATAGAGGTGGCACCGCAGGATCTCCTGCTATGTGTGCGTGGGGCAGGAAGGGGGCTGGATGTGAGCAGATCC